TGCGTTTTGGTCCTTCCCTGTACGAGGAGAGATGGCGTGTTCTTCCAGATAGTAATAATAGTCAGCATCGACTGTAGCAAGTGCAGCGTCCAGCCTTCCCGGTAAAGGCGTTCCGGTTGCTCACGATAAAGCTGTTCGTAGTAGCTGAGCAGTACTCGGTGGGGCGCACCGACGTCCAGAAAGAGCTTGAGCACCCAATTGAACGTCGTAGCGTCAATCGCAGCAGCCGACGCGACACTTCCAGCGAACGCTCCCATACCCGATGATCGAATATACCACAGAGAGATCCACTCGAGCACGTCGGCCAGGAAACCCACAGAAAAGACAAAATCTCCCACACCAGTCGAGTCGCCGTGTCGGTCGTCGCCTTCCAGGTACAGCGACTTGCCCAGTCTCAAGATCTTGCACTGCATCTGGCCAATCCGTTTCTGCTCTCGAACGAGGAACCGCCTCAGTCCCGCTCGAAGTGTCCAGCAAGCCAGCCTTCTCGCATTGATCCACGGCGCCCAGTGCTACCAATTACAACGCAGTGAGTACGCAAAAGCAGGGCAAAACCTCGCTCTGGACAGAAAAACGAATTAGCAACGGAATTCGAGTTTCGTAAGGGATTGAAGCGGAAGATGCGGGTGCTGCATTCGAGTAGCGACAGCGCACCCAACACAATCTTCTCGTCGCTCTTACGGAGAAATGCACTAGTTGTAGAGGGGATACGTAGAGCAAATGTCATTCAGCTCATCTTCATCGCAGTTTATTGGGCCCTTTCGCTGCATCATCTTGTAAGAGAATGAAATGAATATTTGGCAGAGAGGACAAGTTGCAATAATATCTTAAACAATTCAACTCAACAAGGAATTCAATACGGAACAGAATAAATGGTTTGTCAAACACTTATCTCCTCATTCGACGGGATCTCGACTACAGCGTACTTAGAAGGTAAAACAGATCAACAAGAGTCGTTTTTCGGCCGCGAAGTCCAGGAAGTTTCTTGGCTCTTGAGGAAACCTAGTGTCATTGTATTCAGGAATTGGACGAAGACGGAGCTGCCGTTCGTCGTAGTTTTATTAATTGCTCTCTTCATCATTTTCAAGCATGGAGGCATCCGTCTCAGCGGAAGAATGCATCGGTGATTTGGAGATGTGATTAAAACTCTCGCACCAGTGAGACTGAATATCCTGGGCTCTTATATTTGATGACTCAGAAGACTCTTCAACCGGTGCACCGGCTTGTTCGGAATCAGCCGTGTCAACGTTATCGTCCCGGACTTGTCGTTCGAATCCATGTTTGTAAGCTCCAATGAGCAAAAACGAATTGACGTGCCGTGTGAGGGATGTTCTATCGAGCGACGCGAATATAGACAAAATGATGTGACAGAAGTACGTGTAACGGTGTAATGTGGACGGCTTGGCGTGACATTCGACCGGTTTGGTGATGCGAGTGGGAATCCGGGTGTGTCTGGGGGGCGGAAGGCAGCTTGGGAGAGATGGAACGGGCTTGTAAAGGAGTTTAACGAAGCTGGTAGACGGGTCGGTATTTTACCTGTTGTTGTTGAGTTTGACGAGTGGTGTGAGACCCAGCAATCGCGTCGAAACTGGCGCTCCACAGACTTAATTATGCGACCTGCGTATTTGTTGCCTTCGCTATCTTCATCAACAACGTCGCCATCGTCCGCGTTCACACTTCCACTGAGTCCTCGGTCTTGGTTATCCAAGCGATCACGTTCCTTTACTGCTTGACTAGCCATAGCCGCCTTGTTGGTCTTGTCCGCTTTCAAACAATTTTGTGCTGGTGTGTGGATACGACCGAGAGCGCTAAAATATCGCTCACATGTAGCTGTGTTGGCGGCAATTGACAGAACTGCGAGAGCGAGGTCTGGTAAATTGGGACCCGCCGACTTACCTTTAGCATACTTCCAGTACTCGGCAACTGACGGGAACTCATCGAAGCGAAAGTGCTCAGTGCCGATGTACAACGTGCTCTCACACCACTGAACAATATGGTAACGAAGCATTCCATACTCACGTCCAGGGAAAAACCGCTTGAAGTAAAACACTCCAAAATTTGAAATCGAGTCAATCGAGGAAACACCTTTGTTAGGAAACGCTCTTGCCACTTCGAGGTATCCCGGATGTAAGAACACCGCCAAAAGAGTTAAAGGCTGCTCGCAATCGGGCCCAGCGCTCTTCCACGAGCGGGATCAGCTCTTTAGCGTGAGGCTCCAGCAACGAAGCTGTCAAAAATATCACGAAAGCACATCACTACGTCGACCAGTGTATTCTCGTCGCGCTGCAAGATGTAGGACGCATTGCATAGTGGCCGAATTGTTCGCTCTGCATCGCCCAAAGTGGACCAGAACACTTCATCAAGAAAAACGAGTACATCTTTTGGTAGATCGTTGGTAAATTGAAACCTCGCTGCAAATTGCCTTAAACCAGTCTTAACACGAAGCAGAGACGCAAAACATGCTTGCATCGAGTTCCACCTTGTATAGCAGAGAGAAAGAAACGCCAGTGGCTTGACCAGCTCATACAACTCCATCATAACAGCGTTTACTCGCTTAAGACACTTCGACGATGATCGGTTCATTGCGTATACAGCAGCACACGCTTGGTCAGCAACAAATCGAAATCCGGTTCGCTCGTAGGA